AAAAACTTTTCTATTGATACATGACTTTGCTGATATTGATTGTGCATTTATTCATTCATTGTATGCCTGTGAATGTGTATACGTCAACCATTGTATTATTAATATAAGCTAATAACAAGGACAATATTCATCTTTCAAGAGCAATTTTAAAATGGCTAAAAGTACCAATATGAATCTTGATAGAGTGCTCAACAAATACACAACCAATATAACTGGCAGTGATAAAAAAAGAAATGAAAATGAAGAAACAAAAAGGAATGGTACTTCAGCTATTGATGAAGATACGAAGGAAAAAGCATTGACCTCGTCGAATAACATCTCCAGAGTAAAAGGTAAGATGAAAAATCTGAGTGATTTTCAACGAAAAAAGCCCGAATATTTCTTCCATGTCACTCTTGGTATGTTAATATTTTTAGAAAGTAGCAATAGCCATTGAAGTACGTTTTTAAAGACTGCTCAAGTAAGCAAAAGACGAGCAAATTACAGTCTTTTTCTAAGTGATGCCAACTCATCACTTTTAGTCTTTGTCTGAAAAGTTCTCGACCAGGACTAGTCGAACTTTTCTGAACATTATGTATAGGTGTCCTCGTACTATGACTGACGGTAGTCTTGAAATCTGATAAGAATAATTCTTGAGTCAAAAGACTCGTTCCTGACTATGTATTTGTAAAGAAACAGAAAGGTAAAATGTAGACATTGGGACTAGCCTTGGTTGAGAACTTTTTAAGACAAAGACTATTCGAGATAGATGATAGGAACACTCGTTCGAAAATGATTTTAAATTGAAAAAGTAAAGACGTCAGGGACACCTATATAGGATGAGTTGTAGACTTCTACAGTGGATGAGTGCGGATCAGTCGAAATAGAAATATGTAAAGGTGAAAGTTAGATTTGAACATGTATACAATATATCACTTATCCATCGTTTAGGCAATTGAATCATACGATCAAGAGGTCAAGTTTTGCATGCTCACAATAATTGTGACGCGCTTTTTTTATGCAGTTTTTGTTCGAAGGTTTTTGATTTCTCATAAGGATCAAAAGCAATGTTCTACAAAATTTGAATTCAGAACACTTTTTGAAGGAATATCTTTTGACCATTATCAATTTGGAGAGCCAGATGCATAAAAAAATTCATGTAAAATGCAAAAAATAACCACTACTTATATTGGAAAGAGATGACACTTTTTTTGATATAATAGTTCAATTTCTTTCTAAATTTAAATCACCGTATCCTAAAATAAGAATTAAATCAACATCGCTTATTCCGAAGGACGAGTGACGTTTTGGGTGCATTTCGACCCAATTAAAAGGTGAACAGAGATTTATCTAAAATTTTCAGCAAATACTCAACTATATGTTAGAAATCATGGCTCAAAATTTCAGCTTGATCCGTTAAACTTTTCGTCTACTTCGATCGATCAAAAACAGAGACTCTAAATATGCATAAAAATACCTATAGAGGCAACATTGTGGACCGTCGTTCTCCACTATGCAATTCAAGAGCATCATGATTTTTCTAGGGTCACTGGTAATTAGTAAGGGCTACAATATTGCAAGGACATGAGGCAACGATAAAAACCACCCTGGTATCATTATGAAGTACACAGTCCCAGAAATTCATGAAAAAGCGCTATAGAGGTAACCTTGCGGTTGTTCATTCTCTACTATTGGATTCAAATGAGAATTGACTTGTCTGGTTTGGGGTGTTGACTCTGATTTAGCACGGTTGTGAGTGTAAATGTGGAGGTGGAATTGGTCTTTCTGTAGTGACAGAAAAGATCTACATTCAGACTCACTCGCTTTCACAGATCAAAAATACTCAAAGATAATACCGCTCCTTCCATTCACAATGTCTCACATTCAACCTCATGATTATTACTTACAAAAATATAATCTTTTAAAGTAGATTGATAAAGTCAAATCGAAATTCGCATGCTACATTATCCAACACAGTACTTCAAATCTTATGCTATGTATTATAATTCATAATCACCTGATAGCATTAACTAGTGTATCCTCACATTACCTTAACACACTTTTCCTTACACAGTGGACATCTACATTCTTCTCTTAGTTATTAATCTACCGCATCTAATATTCTCAACATTTAGACAGCTCCTAGACAAATATTTAGTAGCCTGACTCTAATACTGCGGGATAAATGCATCCGATGTTTTCTCTATAATCATTTTCACTTCTACTTTTGATCCAATGTACATCATCATGATACCCCGCAGCCTTCACTCACCCTCAAGTGTCTGCGATTTGCTAGTGACTCTGAAAAAGTTTGCTAGTGTAACTCCTTTGGAGCTGAAATGTGGAACTTATGTATATCCTTCAAACTTGTTTTCCTACTCCACCATTTGTAAACTGAAAAATAACTTTTCAAATAATTATGAAGGCCTCAAAACATTGTATAGAGTCTCAAATCTTTTGTCCGCAGTTGCTTGTAATGAAGGGTAAGGAGGAAGAGGCAGCCAAAAAACCTCGATCTTAAAACTTACACTGGCTATTTTCTTCGAGATTCTACGTGAGTTCCACAAAATTACTCTGCGTTCGAATCACAAAGTGGAGCACGAAGGACCTCAAGGCTATCTCTATAGGGCTTTTTCATAGATTTCTGGGGCTGTGTACTTCACAATGATATCAAGGCAGGTTTTTTCAGTGCCTCATGTTCTTGCAATATTGTAGCCCTCACTAATTACCAGTGACCATAGAAACATCACTCTGGATTTACAGGATATAATGGAGAATGACGGTCCACAATGTTATCTCTATAGGTATTTTTACGCATATTTAGAGTGGTCTGTTTTTGATGGATCGAAGTAGAGCAAAAGTTTAATAGATCAAGCTGAAATTGTGAGCCACGACTACTAACATATAGTTGAGTATTTGCTGAAATTTTCAGATAAGTTTGTCTTCACTTTCTAATTGGATCGAAATGCATCTAAAACCTCCTCCATTCTTTATTCTTGAATTTAAAATGCTAGAATTTATACTTAAAAAAAATAATATAAAGTAATGATATAAAGAGATTTAAATTAAAAATTTTTTGAAATTTAGTATAAATATAAACATTTTAAAGTATATAAATTAGTGCTCATCGCTGCTATATGAATATTGTTCTTTGTACTGTTACGTTTTCATATTTCGATGTATTCTTACATTTTCAACATATGCAAATACAAAATATAATAAGACAGATCAAGATCGGGATAGGAATGGACGAAGTATACTATCTGTTGTTGACTTCACTGTTAATTAGAACGGCCTCCATGATTGTCATTTATTTCAATAATCTGACGAAGGTTTTATTAGAAGGCTGACGATTGAAAGTATATTTCTCCAATAGGTGAATGCTCATGGCGAATTTTTAAGACGTTTCAGAGTAGACCTGATAAAGGTTGTGGATATTTCGGACTATCTATGGTGATCGTCTTTCATTGTTTTTGGTTCACTCGGGTGATTAGATAAAATAAAATCTCGAAATTATTGTAAGACTCGTGTAATTCGAAGTTTAATTTTAATTGTTTTTTTGCCTTCTTTATACATAGTTTGAAAGAGTGAGCTTTTAATGCTTACAAACACTCTTGTCCGTCTGAAAAGCCTAGAGAAAAGTGGGAGGATGTCGTTTTTCTAATTTTTTTGATCACAACAATACTCGCCATCGTTTCAGATGGAAGCTCAAAAAGAACTGATGCTATTGAAAACAATAAAAAAACACATGAATCAACTCAGACTTTTACGATGACTCCAAATATAACAATTTTATTACATAGAGAGTGGATTTTGAAAAAGATAAATAAAATTTATGAATAGAATTCTATATATTAATCCAAAATTCAATATAAATGAGTTTTTTCAGCAATACGAAAAATGAAAAAAGAATCCGACGTACACCTTCGTGACCAATAGTATGATGAATAAATGATAAAAACTCCATATGGAAAATACTCTAAAAACAGAAAATTGAACTTATTTCAGTACATGCACACTACGAATATGTACCGGATAGCAACGCAAAAGAAGGATTAGAAAACGATGATGTTGGACAACGTAAACTATTTTATACAATAACTGTCCAATTGTAGGAATTGGTTATTCCTATAAAATCTTTTCTTAAAAACCTAAGTCTCACACATATCATAAATACACGATTTCTCAAATGTATAAGAGAATATTCTAATAGATAACCTAGTAGACAATATCACTTACTTCTTTACATTTTCTATCTCATTGATGATTTTCTCAGCATTATAAAATAGAATACAAGTTATATGGAATGGTTAAAAGATATTCTAAGAGTGCCTATACCAATTCAACAACAGATTTCTACTTTGTCGAAAAAAAATTATTTCGATTTAAGTTTCGATCTTATATAAAACAGAATGTATTCAAAATTTACAGTGAATCCAAACAATCAAGCAAACCACAACAATTCCCATGACTCCAAAAACCAAAAGGATCATGTCAATCAATTACATGGCAACTTCAACGACCACAACAGCCAGAACGATGACGATGATAATTCCTACGAGTGCGACAACCAGACAAATAGTACCAGCTTCTACGACTGCGATAGCGAGGAGAGCGACGACAATCTCTACAACTACAACAACCAATCGAACGATTACAGTATGTCTGGCGACATCAATCAATTGAACGATCCTAATATATCCGATTACATCCACCAAATGAACGATTACATTCTCTCTGGCTACATTGAGCAGTTGAACCATCACAAAATGGCGGATTACAACAATCAGATGAACGATTACAACTTGTCCGACTACATCACCCAGTTGGATCCTTACAAGATGTCCGATTACAAAAACCAGTTGGACAATTACAATTTGTCCGACTATGTCAACCAGATGAACCAATACATTATGTCCGACTGCACCAACCAGTTGGACCGTTACAAGATGTCGGACTACAAAAACCAGTTGATCGATTACCATTTGACCGACTACACGACCCAGTTAAACGATTACATCATGTCCGACTACATCAAGCAGGTGAATGGCGCTGAATCAGAAGAAGTAATATTATCACCTGAATCGAAACAACCATCAACCCGGCCTAAACAACCACCAACTGAATCTAAACAGTCACAAACAGAACGTAGGCAACCACCAACTGAATCTAAACAATCACAAACAGAACCTAAGCAATCGTCAACTGAACCTGAACAACCACCAGCCGAACCTATACAGCCACTAACTGAACCTAAACAACTACCAGTCGAACCTATACGGCCACTAACTGAACCTGAACAACCACCAGCCGAACCTATACAGCCACTAACTGAACCTAAACAACTATCAGCCGAACCTATACGGCCACTAACTAAACCTGAACAACTACCAGCCGAACCTACACAGCCACCAACCAGACCTAAACAACCATCCAATGGACCTAAACAATCGCCAACTGAACAAAAACAACAAATTGGCGCATCAACTGGCGAGAACCAGTGTTGGAAACAAATTCAACAATTACAAATGGCTTTAGTCCTAAAAATGAACGATGATATTCATTGTCTTCTACAATACCATGGCATAGACGGCAGCAATACTTTTGTACTGAATGATGGGCCTGCATGTCGTTTACTTCCGACTCCCACATCACATTTAACTGATTATACTCGACAAGCCGGGAACTTGCTTCGACAATTAGAAAATCAGTTACAAACTAATCCAAAAGAACCAAAGAAGCAAGTGTGCAATGAAGAACAAGGACAACAACCACCGGTTCATCTAGAAGAACAAAAAATTGTAAATGCTGTTATGCAACAATCGATACCATTATTTAAAAAATTGGTTTCAGCTGAAGTGAGACGATCATTAATTTCTCGAGATACTCAAGATAATTGTAATAAATTAATAAAATTACCGCCTGTTTTTACCAGTTCTGCATGTAAGTCTGTTCCACCTGATGAATATTCACTACCACTAGTTTTTCAAAAACAACAGTCAGTAACTACAGTTATGGTAAGAAAGCAATAAAATTCGCTACTTATTCTGTTGATTCTACTAGGAAAGTAACTTTGGTGGAGCTTTCGTCCATTCTACATCTGTTCCTCCTGAATATTTTATGCCATTTGGCAATGGTTCAATAGGAGGTGTTCAAGGCGAAATAAATACGCATCTGCCCAACGTATTCTATTCGTATTAAATTCCAACTCTTCGCCAGAAGATTTATCGAAGGTTCATAAACTATCTTGTATTGAGTGTTAAAATGTACTTTGGTTTTTTTTTATAGACTTTATGGTCTTCAATGACGTGAAATAATTCAGTGCTCATTTATCTGATAAACAACAATTGTGTCATACACTTTGCTTCTAATCTTATCGTATACGCAATTATTCTTTTTACCTTTTTTACTTCTTCTTTAGCTTCAAATAATGTAGTGTAGTGTTCGCTTAACATTCTCTTCTAATTTTTAATTCATTGTAGTGTAACAAAGGATAAAATCTTGGTGACCGAAATAAACCGAAAATCGCTTTTTTTTTTTTTCGATTATTTCTTCCTAACCTTGTTGTTCTATTTCATACTATTAGTTTTTCTCAGATATATGCGTCAGCACTTAATGCATTCTAAAACTTTCAGTACTATAGATTCAAAATTGACGAAAACACAACAAATATATCTCATGTATTTATGTACTACTAAAAAAAAAAGTTTTTGTGTTTTTTCGTATTTCTACTATTTTAGATTCTATTAGAAATATCAGGTGATAGTTCGATAGCTTAGAAACATGACTATGCTACGAGACATCTTTGATGATATCAGGATGTGGATATGGTTGGTGGTTAGAATCTTTTCTATATTCACATGCCGACATTTGTCGACATCTATATATGCACCCTCCAAGTGGAATTTAAAATAAATGAAAACACACTCAGAATTGTGATCAGAGTCAAACAGAAAGAGTAAATAATATTAAAGACTAAAGGATAGTAAACAGTAGAAAAAACATAATGTATGCTATATATGATAATAGCGGAAGGAAGAATAACCTTCTCAGGCATTAAAAACCTTTACTTTGAATATAATCAACTCCAAAAACATTTGAGAAAGTCTTAGAGTGATATGGTTTTATCCAATTCGAACCTCTTGTGCATCCAATATTTTTCATTCATTGAATGTTATTGTACTTCGTAGAACAGTTTTAATCGAATAGAAGCTATCGGTGCATCAATGTACTCGGTAATAGTAATTCTCCTGTAATAATACTCTTCGCAACTTCATAAGTATTTTTGAATAAAGCTATTCCAACACCACAACGGCCTGAACTTGAATTAAAACTTGTTCTACATTCTTGTTCTTTCCACAATAAATAAGGCTGAGTACTTCAAATACTCATATTTCATACTAAAATAAGACCTATCTCAGTTACATATTGCTAGTGATAGTGTCGAATACTCTATCAAAAAATCTGTCGTAGTGTAAATGTATTGTAACCTATCTATTCACTATACATTCATCGTTTTGTTTTACGTATTGAGCTATATGTATGAGCAAGTCTACTAAACAGACCGAACTTGTACATTTCCTACGTTTTTTCCTAGATGATTATTCGACCAGTCATTATTTGAAAACATACGAAGATATTGATCGAGACGCAGTCAACTTGAGACAACTACATCTTAAGATCTTACCTTCTAGATGGTTTCCTAGAAAATCGACAATAGGAGTTTCGATATTGGAATTGCGAAAACATCGTTGAATTTCTAATGGTGTCTAAATTCTTTCTTGATTTCTATAATAAGAAACTTCATGTGCCGCCTGCCGGAGATATCTTTTGGCATCTATAGGGTCCCACTTCTACTTGCGTAAAGGGTGGGAGGGTGTGGGTGTGGGTGATAGTGGAACAATCAGGATAAGAGTCACACTCACACCCACACCCACACCCCACACCCACATCCACACACCCACCCACACCCTCACACCCACACATCCACACCCAAGATCTTAGACATTTATTAAAAAGCATTTCTTATTGATCATCACTCAAGGGGGAAAAAGCGGATTATTTGGGATTTTAAATCCGAAAAAATCCCAAATAATCCCAAATAATCCCAAATAATCTCAAATAATTCCAAATAATTCATAATAATCCCAAATAATCCCAAATAATCCCAAATAATCCCAAATAATCTCAAATAATCCCAAATAATCCCAAATAATCTCAAATAATCCCAAATAATCCTAAATAATCCCAAATAATCCCAAATAATCCTAAATAATCCTAAATAATCCCAAAAATCTCACAAAAAATCCAAAATCTAAAGTAATTTTCAACAATATACTCTGATCATATGTTCAAGTGCGTCGAACATAGATAACCAGTTTTAAAGGCTGCTACACATAGGGGAAAAGGTCCCTAGTCGAGAGTCCCCAAATGAATCTCTGGAGAGTCTCCCACTACCCCTCGGTCCTTGGGGAGTCCCTATCGTGATTCCACGGAGACTTCGAGGGTGACTTTATAAAGAGATTTCACTAGGGGTGGATACTCTGATAAAAACGTCCGTACGATCGTTTACAGTCGTCGTAAGTCTCATGGTATATTTCTGGGGAGTCCCTGAAAAATCTTCAGAAACTCGGTAGCAAATCTCCAGGAACTCCCATGTAAATCTCCAAGGTCTTCATGTCGTGAGTCCCCAGAGATTCGTAAGGATATTCTCAAGAAGGGGATCCATTCACAAGATTCCACATCCATATAAGCACAATGGGAATCCTTGAAACCCAAGTAGCATGATGGGAATTCCGAGAAAACGATGCATCCTCTAGGAAACTCATAAATGCTCATGACGACTTCTATGGAAGCGCCTTAAAGTCCTGAATGCCTATCTGATGAGAGTATTCATAAGTTATCATCACCTATCATATGGGGAGCAGTCATCCTATTCCGCAATATTGAACATTGTGGAACCAGTTCCGCCTTCGGAATCAGTTCCGTCCAATTCCGAGAGCTTGATCGTCATACAAAATAAGAGGACTACTCGACATTGATCGAGTTCTATCAATTCCCGGAATTTCCTCTCGACTCGATTCCCGGTACTCCGGAATCGGTAGGGATTGTTAGAAATTCCAAGATATCCTGTGCAATTCCGTCTTGACTCAATTCCTGGAATTCCGTACCGGAATTGGATACTAATTCAATGGATTAATCTTTAAGCACATCAGTATGCATCAGGGTGAGGGGGCGATCTAATTTCGGTCAGGAATTCCGGAATTGGATTGAGTTCTCGGAATTCTGGAATTGAATTGAGTTCCCGGAATTCCGGAATTGGTAGGAATTTCTAGGAATTCTGTGCAATTCCGTCCTGACTCAATTCCAAGAATTCAGTCCGAAATTGGGTACTAATTGAATGGATTAATCGTTTAGCACATCAGTATGCATGAGGGTGAGGAAGTGACCTGATTCTGGTCAGGAGTTCCGGAATCGGATTCAATTCCGGGAATTCTGAAATCGGTAGGAATTCCGTGCAATTTCGTCTTGACTCAATTCCTAGAATTCCGCGCCGGAATTGGGTACTAATTGAATGGATTAATTGTTAAGCACATCAGTATGCATGAGGATGAGGGAGCGACCTAATTCCGGTCAGGAATTCCAGAATCGGATTCAATTCCGGGAATTCCGAAATCGGTAGGAATTGCTAGGAATTCTGTACAATTCCGTCTTGACTCAATTCCCGGAATTCCGTACTAATTGCATGGATTAATCTTTAAGCACATCAGTATGTATGAGAGTGAGGGAGCGACCTAATTCGGGTCAGGAATTCCGAAATTAGATTGAATGCCCGGAATTCCGGAATCACTAGGAATTTCTTGGAATTCCGCGCAATTCCGGAATTATCGGAATTGATGGAACTCGATCAATGATGAGTGGGCCTCTTTGGTTCAATGATAATCGAGTTCTAGGAATTGGATGGAACTGATTCCGGTGGCGGAACTGGTTCCACAATGTGCAACATCGCGGAATAGGAAGTGTTCTCCCATCAGTACTCTAGAGAGATCCTATGAGGGTACTCATAAGTCATGATCGCCTATCCTATAGAATATCCACAAGTACTTAAGGCTTTTTCTATGACGGACACCCCATAAGTCCTTCTGATCTGTCCTATGTGAATACAATAAATCCTCAAGGACTCTCCTTTGCGGGTACTCATAAGTCTTCAACGCATATCTTATAGGCGTACTCATAAGTCATTATCGTCTATTCTATGGGATACCCATAAGTCCCGAAGGGCTATCTTATGGAGGTAACCATATATCCTCATCGTCTCTCCTATGGACGTATGCAGAAGTCCTCAAAGCTGTCCTATAGGGTACCTATAAGTAGATTTTTGACAGCTCTGGTTCAATTCCCCGAGCTGATACTGTCCACCAGCTCTTCGACTGAGCTCTTACGAGCTGTGAAAGTGGAGCTGTGATGCGCCTATGGTTCATTCTATATGTGATTAAAGAGAAATTCAAAGTTGAGCCCAATTTGTCAAACGCAATGACCTGAAAATGATACTAATTGTGAAGTAAAACCACTTCATAACTTTCCTCAATACATCGAGCTGAAAAGAAGAGTCCACTTTTACTTCTTAACGAAAAAATCAAATGCACGATTGTTACGTGACCCTTAAACCAGTATTTCATACTACATTAAAACTCAGTTAGTGGATGATGGGCGAGCAGTGTCCATACAACAGTTACGCACCCTATGCCTAAAAGCTCTTGAAAACCTACGACGACTAATGCTAGATATTTTTTGAACAGTTAGCCGTACCCAATATATCTCCACAGAAGAGCCCTTGAAGAGGAAGCAGAACTATTGTAAGACAGTGTTTGAAAAGGTAACTATACCAAACATCAATTGGCCATGTAGACTAATGGGTACCACTACAGGATAGGCCATGAGGACTTACGGGTACCACTACAGGATAAAGCATGAGGACTTATGGGTACCACCATAGAATGGGCCATGAGGACTTAGGGTTTCCTCTATAGGAGAGGCCATACAGACTTATTGGTACCATTATAGGATAGACCATAAGGATTTATGAGTTTCCTATAGGATAAGCTATGAGGACTTATTAATTTCCCTACAGGATAGACCATGAGGACTTATGGGTACTCCATAGGATAGGGGATGAGGACTTACGGGTACTACCATAAGATAGACCTTACAGACTTATTCGTACCACTATAGGATAGGCCATGCGGATTGATGGGTACTTCCATACGATAGCCCTTGAGAATATATTGATTCGGTCGTATGGTAGGCCTTCAAGGGCTTCAAGTACATACCCCTGGGTGCCTGTAGGAAGCTATGAGATAGCTCATATGAAAAGAAGTGGTGATGATAGATTCAAAATTAATCTAATATCAAACAAAAAAACTGAGGAAAACCTGAAAAACTCAAAAGCGCCCGAAAAAATCGGAATATCCAAGAAAATCCGAAAATCCAAAAAATCCAAAGAAATTCGAAAAATCAAAAAAAAATCCAACGAAATCCGAAATAATCCCAAAATCCCAAATCTGCTTTTTCCCTCTTCATTTTTGTCAGATGTTGCAAAATTAGTCTCAGTAGCAAACTATCGTTTTTCGCAGAGCTCTTGATATTTCAGTTTTTTCGGGATGATTTTGCATCCCGAATAGTGAATAGAATCTGTATAAAAAGTCTCAGTTTGATTAGACATACCAGAACTCAGTGAAACGCGGGACAAATACAATTTTGTTCACTTCTAGGAAGGAACGAGACTGAAAAATAGGAAGTACATGGAGCAGAATGAAACAGGATGAGGCTAGAATTTTCTTTGCTCCATCCAGACTGTTTCCTTCCCTTTAAGCTAACAAGCAACAGTTTTTCATAACTCCTCTTCGCGAACATTTTATCTATGGGAAACACAATTAACTCAATCATTGTTAATCGAAAAGGTTCTGTTATGCTAATAAAACAGTTCGAAACAATTCTTCATAAATAGACAGACCAGAACACGGCTGAAAAATGGAAAGTAGCGCGGGACAGAGTAGAACGTGAGGCGTGAAATGAGATGAGGCATAGGACGCGAGACCGATTTTTATCGTTCTGCGGAACTCTGGAACCTACCATGTTGGAGAAAATAGCGAAAATAGTGGTCATTTTGACTCATCGGGGCTATAATATCTGCTTGAAGCAAATAATCAATTGATTAAGGCCTATGATAACTTTTCATTTATTAATTGACATCAAGTTGGTCAGAAAAGTATAGTTTTCTGCCAGCCGTTCTCCGGAAGTGAGAGAAAGAAGCGAGATAACTTTAAACAAAAAAACAGGCAATTTGAATGATGAGATATGGCATACCGGCTTGAAATTATGCTAATATAAAACAAAAAACCTGAGGAAATATGGGAAAACTCGAAAAATTCAAAATAACTCAAAAATCCCTAAATTCGCTTTTCCATCCTTGGAATATGATTAACTATTTTTTAGCACATACGATTCTTAACCTTTCTTGAGATAGACATGCCTAAGAAGACTCAATACATGACAGCGAAAGCTGACGAAAATCCTAGTATGAACGAACACAAAAACTAGAAGACATTGAACGTTTTGCGACCTCTTTTACATACACTTTGACGAGAGGGCTGGTCAAAAGTCTTCAAGTATGCCACCGTTGTGAATGAGAGAGGACAATTGACTTAATCAAGTCAATGTATCTCGTGAAGATAGAGCTTTGCTTTGCAATAGAAAATACGATATTCAAATGATAGGCAAGGAATAAAAAGTTTAAAAGTTCGAAAAAAAGCTGTTAGCGCAATTCCTTACGGGATTAGAAATGTGAAACACGATGTAGTTGCTATAGCCGATGTTCTAAAAGTTGTTGTTTTTTATGCATATTGGAATACATTCCTTCCTAATGGTTTACTTTACATTATACACTTTGAATCGGATAATATTCCATATTTGCTCCAATCATATGTTAGTTATACATTATCTCTGATATTTGCTTGAAGTCTTCTTCAGTTTATAATGACCCCTGGGCCCTATCTATCATGCCCTATGACGTGCCCAGAGACCTGTCTGTCACGGTCTGTGACGGGTCCGGAGACCTGTCTGTGACACGCCCAAAGTCTGTCTGTCACGGTGTGTGATGGGTCCAGAACCTTCCCTACCACGGTCTGTGGGGGGAGATGCAAATTTCTACCCCTAAACACTTCAACACTCCTTTCAGATCGTGTTTCACAACATCTCAAAAATCTAAAAAAATCCCGAAAAATCCGAAAAACTCCCAAATAATCCCAAATAATCCCAAATAATCTCAAATAATCTCAAATAATCCCAAAAAATCCAGAAAATCCCAAATAATCCCAAAAAATCCCAAAAAATCCCAAAAAATCCCAAAAAATCCCAAAAAATCGTCTTCGGATTTTAGAATCTGTAAAATCCCGAATCCGCTTTTCCCCCCTTGTCATCACTTCGATATTGCTGATGTCAAGTCAAATGTATTAGATTTATTGGAACAAAAAGACAATGTTAATGTGGACCTTAAAATATTATTAAAAAATTTTTAACCATTTAATTAGAAACAACACAAGAAATTCATGAATACATAAATATATCATAGATAACTGGAAAAATATGGTTAAGTTTGAAATAACAGATTGAAATGCAGAGACTATTACGGACCTTGAATTCCCATACTTCGATTACCACAAAACACAATTTTGAATTCAATATTCTGCTACTACTTTGAACAAGAGGTCTGTAATTTCAGTGCTGGGCGTGGCCGCGCGTTACGGAATTTCATTTTTTCATATTGTGACATCTGTAGCTTCTCAAAAATCAAGGCAAACTTGCTAAAATTTTTATCATAGATAGAGATGGCTGAGATCTATTATCAGTAAAAATTTTATCTATTTCTGTCTAGTCATAGTTGAGTTATTCAACAGATACTGACCGTTACGGAATTTCATAAAATGGAATTTTTTTTTAGGGTGATGCAGAAGTTAAGCATTTTACTACGTAACGAAACGACATACAAAATAAATGCTCTATATAAAAGTTATTCAGTTTCCCATGAGCTCTCAAAATATCAATTCATTTCCTAGAAAGCATAACTGTACAAAATCAAATAACTGTAAATACTGTCCGTTACGGAATTTCACTTTGTTACGGAATTTCATTATTTTTTGACTTTCTAATGGGGACGGTTAGGGACCTTACAGCTTTTAATTATCATGATGAAAACCCATCATTTCTCGTATCCGCGAATAGTACAGAGATAGTTCCATCGCGCGAGAATATCAGCTTCACGTTCAAAGCAGAATGACATTAAAATTCTGCCTGTTTTTTGGACAAAAAATGAAATATAATGGGACTCAGAACGGATAGTTTTTTGGTGAAATTCGTCAAAAAATCCGTTTTCAGGCACTTATTGGAGAAAAAGTACGGTTTATATAACCAATAAACAACGTATCTCAGAAGTTGCAACGTGTTTCATAATCTGTTAGTAGTGAAATTTTGGATTTCGAGAGAGTTTTCTTTATTTTTAGTGCGTATAAACCTTCCTCATGGTAGGGTGACCGATGCGTGGCCATGCCGTGCTTTATTGAAAGTAAATGGAATAAACCATTCGTTGATAAAATATGTAAAAAGCGCTTATAACTCATTATTGTCTTGAAATATTTCACTGAACACTTTGTGAGATCACTTGTTTTCATTGAATTTGGTCTAAATAAGTTGGTTTAATTTGTGAAATTGTATGAAAGAACAAAATTTATCCGTTTCTATGAATCGAGTTCATGTTTTCCTTTTCTCCTCGCTAGAGATAAAGCTATTATTATGACAGCTGTGTTACTAATCAATTTGTGATATGATTTAGACAATAAGCTAAAGAAATCATCTATCAAAAATAAGAAAATTCTTTGTCGGCATGCTCTGTTTCAGCGTATATTCTAATTGTCGATTAAGGAGGAGTCATAGCTGTTTTTGAGTAGATATTTTTTCAGAGAACTAAAGTTACCAATAGGACAAACGTTTGCAAGATTACTTTGTTTCAAAGAAAAAAACAGAAATTCATTTTGTAGCATTTTCAAACTAGTATATTTATGAATTTGAAAAACGTATGTTTCAGAATGTGAAATGTCTCGTTATGTCAGATGATAGATATGCATGCGTCAGTTAGAAAGTAATGGCACGTCTTGATAAATGGATGTAAATAATTCATATTTGAAGTTACTCAATGAGACTGTCTTCAGTCTTCTAATATAAACATTCTTATAATAGCAAGAAAGCTCAGAAGTTCACAAAAGACTATTTGTAATGCTCATTTTGCCTATTTTTCAGATCTCATAGATATACATACACATAACAATAATAATAATAATAATACTATAATGAATAAAAAAAAAGTATCATTATCTGTACTCTTTTCGTGATTTTCTATATAACATTAAGTCAAGGCATGACATATAAATATGAATGAATATGACTTTTAGTGTTATATTTAAAGGTCTTAAATGTTATAAATATTTTTATTATCGTAATAACTTTTCGGAATTATCAGAAAATATTATTCAATGTACAAAAGAAGAAACTCGATGTTTAGTACATATTTTGAAAATCAATCTTGTTTTTTTCGTAATATAAATATTTCGTTTTTAGAAGATGACCTTTCCATTGGATACATTTCGTGATTATGATATGTCGCTGATATTTTTTAACATTGGTGTTATTGACACTGCTAATGTCTGTTGTTCAGGCTATCTTCGTAATTCATTTATTCAAATTAAACTAACAACAATACGTATTGCTTTTATATATATACGTGATGTTTTCAATGATAAATATACTTCTATTTTGCATCTATACCTTTATCTTTTTATGGATCATTCTTACAATAAGATAAATTTCTTTGAAAAGAAGATATTCCTTGGATCTATTTTATGTATTGAGTTATTGCATTCTTATGAAGTGTAGGTGTTTTATCATCGTAAACATTCGATAAGTTTGTTCTGTACTTACTTTTGAATCGACTTTAGTTCTAATTAAACTAAAGAACAGCTATAAACTCATGTTCATCTGTACTGTCAACAACTAGCATGGAATTTTCTTTCTCTTCTTTGTTTTATTTCGATTATGCTATAGAGAGACAAGCAAATAACAAAAGACACCTTACTATTGCTTTTCTTCATTTACAAATTAATAGAAATAGTCAGTGCCAGACGTAAGATGGAAGAGATATCATCTCTCTATCTCTTTCTTCATTGTTTTCGTTTATTCTTTTTCTTTTTATGTCAATATTGGGCGACATTTCATCACAAGAGTATACTAATTGCTAGAATATACACATCCACTAACTGACAGGTAAAGATACAGTTATATTTTAATTGACAGATCAGAAACGTAGAAAACATGAAATCAAACATTCTTGTTGCTATTTTACTTCTTTATTATGCTGTTCTTGATGAAGGTGAAATTCGATTATATTTTACTTTTCTATAATAATTTTGTTTTTGTAGCACTTCAATGTTATTCTCATGATACATGCTCAACTAATTGTCCAAAGTTAAGTAATACAATAAGATCTTGTACTGGTGATGATAATAGATGTTACAAATCTGCATTTCCGAGTGGTATTGCTTGTGGTTGTTCTAAAGAACGATGTAATCTTCAAGTTAGTTCTTTTGTTTTTCTATTGATATCAAACAAATATAATCGTTATTGTATTGAATAGATCACTGGTTCTTCAATTCTGGCTAATGTTTGTTGTGAAAAAGATTTGTGTAATTCAACAATGACATCAAGACTAACATTATAGCACACTATTTATGATCATTGGTGTCTTAGTCTTGTTTCAAATCTAAAAAAGAGAAGAGAACAATAGACACTTAACTTAGAATGACATCAGATCATGTTGGTCTTTTTTTCTGACGTAATTCATTCAATCTTCTTTCTTTTTTTTTCTTTTAGTTAAATAAATTTAGTCATGTATTCGTATTTTTTACCAAGATAATAATTGTTTTGATGCATAGCTGCTACTAATTTTTAAATCAATCAAAAACGATAGCATTTTTCTTCTTTGATTCTTATTAATCTGTGTCGGCGAGACAAAAATCAGATTAAAGAGGAAACCTTGTCAAATGACACTCTATGTTTGGACTCAAATTTCGCTTATAAGTACAGCTTCTATTTGAGATGAAAACTCTACAAATGTTCATGCTTTTAGACCTTTCTTTTCTAGTTATGAACATTTTACTGAATTTTCATCTGCAAGTTTTCCTCAGTACCAGATCTTATTGTAGTTATTATATTCTGAAAGTTTCAGCTCACACAATTGAAATGTTCTTTTGATATCGGATATCTAAAAAATGATCTGTTCACCAGTCCAACTTATAAGAGAAATATGAACTAAAACAGAAGATATAAATTCGATGAGTGACCTCTTAAATAAGAATTTCATGATCAGTTAGAGTTTCAGATTTAAGACAAGAGCAACATACATTACATAGAAAGGAATATACAATGAGTAGTAACATCAAATTAATGGATTTATGCTAGTGAATCTCAACAAAAAGAAAAGAGGAATAACCCTAGTTTTGTGTTGCATATCTATCCAATCAAAGGGACACAACACATTCTATCAGAATGACATCTTAACTAAAAGTGTGTCTCAGACAATAAGAAAAGGAAGAACAGATAGATTATGTTTTAAACACGATCAATCAAATTTCACATCTATTGACAAAAATTAAAATGATGTTTGTTATGATAAATAGTAATGTTCTTGTTAGGAAGACAGAACAACAAATATTTCAAAGATATCTGCTACTTCTTGAATACATTTAATACTTTAAAATAATGCTTTCCAATTATTGATAGTGAGATGTTGCATGAAAAGAAAAATAAGTCGGCTTTCCAAACTCATTCTATAATTTGAACGTTACAATATAAGCAATCGAAAGTATCAAAGTAATCAAGAATAGTTACTCGTGAATAACTAAATATTTATTTTGAAAATATTTTTTCTATACATAAGTTATTGCTAAATTCAATATTATGGACATTAGAATAAAAAGTCATCAAATGAAACTGTTAGAACACGTCAAAATACGTATTCAAACCTTAATACTCTTTACGAATTTATGATGGATCTAAAGTTTAAAAATTCTGTCACAACTCAGGATTTTTATTCTTCTGATGTCTAGACTATATTTCATATGATATTTAGCTTTATAACATCACGTTTAACCAATGAAAATGTCATTGACTTTGAATAATAGCGATTTTTATACTAGAGACTTTTTCATCAGAAAAAGCTTTCGTAGCTGACTCGCTCATTGAAATAGAATTTGATAACATTAAATATGCTTTTAAAATAAATATAGTCAACAGAATTTAACAATATAACTTCCGTTTTTTTATTGTATGTAATTTATTTTATTACGATTTGCTATTGCAACGTACCTTAAAGTACAGATATTGAACAATATTATAGTATGAATTTTCAGTTTCAATTACAATGGTAAAAAACGTAATTGGATGATTGATGCTTACGAAAATTTACTTACAATCACTTTCAAATGTCACTTACGTTACCTCAAACATAATAGTTGTCGTTATGAAAGAAACTCATCAACTAATAACTAAACAAGAATTCCCTATACGCACATTATTGATTTGAGATACCTTGTTAAAAATCATTATGTCTGAAGCATGTAGTATTAATATATGTATAAATCATAGACAACTAGGAATTTTTGCTATCTAATTATACCAGGTAATGTCAGTTGTGGAGTCATATAGCTGCCATTCATGATAATCGACCATTGAAAGAAGGTAATATAGGGGTATTTTTAGATGTAGCTGATATTACATTGTTCTTGTTCGGTTATTAAACTAATTATATGATGTACACGTCGTAAACTACACAGTATAACGTCTAGTTATAATGATGGACGATCATTAGATGGCTACTCACAATCTATTCAGTTAGTACTTGGCACAAAGCTTTTATGTGTTTCGGATAACTGAGATTCCATTGGTTATTCCGATGATGGATATAGATTGAATACAGCTTTTTATAGAGTGGATCGAGTAAATGTACAATTAAATGATTATATTGTTGTATTAGAAATTAATTCAGTATGACGATCATCTGAGTCTTTTGCTTGATAATCTGTTGCTGCTCATGTATTAGTCATGGATTCAGAATCTCAACTATTAGAATTTAATAGGTTTCAATCAGCTTCTTTTTTTTTGTTGACAGTATAATTTATTAAAAAGAACCTATTTGATGCTTTTTATTTTGTTTTTCATAGAGATTTCAAATCATTATTTTTTTATTGATTATTTCTGTTGATTTAACATATGCATAATTGTACTCTCTGAATTGTCGATCGTTCAACTATATCCTCGATATTTATAAAGCTTTTTGGTTGATATGTTAAATATATAAAATGTTCTTTTTTTTTTAGTTTTGATGTTGCTATAAATGGACCTCTTCATTTGTTTATTTATTGAGTCATTTTTATCAATCTCGTTACATGTACGAAGACTATGATTATTCTTTTTTTTATGACTTATAATGTACTTTAATCATTTATGTTTATATCATTGTCCATCGGACGTCTTTAGAAGTTATTAAAAGAACAAAATTGAGCAATGGAGCAATCTAATTTAGTTGCACACATCCGCTTTTAGTCTGAGACTTTCTATTGTTGAACTATCCCAAAATGATGACGAGACTGCATAGCAATTAGAGTATGTCTTCCGTCTTGACGACATTCTATTTAGTTTGATCAATAGGCTGAGAATATGAGTTGATTTCCTTTCGTCTTGACGCAACTTAATGCATAGATATATGTCGCAATGCAAATGCGACAGCAACGGAAACTAAATACGGAAAAAGAAAGATTATCTCATCATCTTTCATTTGTTGTTGTTTTGCTAATTTTAAGAATAAGTAATCTACAACTGTTTAATTCATTCGTTCATTCATTCATATCATATTTGTTAATGACCTTGTAAGTGAAGCCTCATCGATTTGTATGATTACTTTTGCACCTGGTTCTATTGAACACTTGTCTACCGTTTTAAATTTCATATCGATCAACAATGATCAGCCTTGAATCAAAAGTAATTTGTAAGTGTATGTATATATGTGTGTGTGTGTTTTATCTAGTGTGAAAATTCATCATTGAAAGAGCACTAAGAACAGTAAGCAATTAAACTTCTTCTACTTGTATACTTATACATATATTCGCTTGGGGAAATTATGATCAATTGTTCGTTCAACAATTAAACATATGAACCTCTGCCTTCTGTCTCATAGTATTTCACTAAAAAATTTAATCGATTAGTAACGAATCAAAAAGATTATGTCTGATAGTTCTTTTTGATCCAATCTTTTGGAATAAAGATTATTGTCAGGCGAGAAAGATGCCATCAATACAATTATCTTTTTTTGTGTTAGTGACCTTTCAAGTAATGAAAGAAGAAGAGCATTGTCCCTGAATCATCCAAGCACTATAGTCAGTTCATCATTATAAAGAAAGCAAGCGTATGATGTAATTAGAAAAAAAAAAAAGATTTGCTGTTACTTCTTCTATTCTCAGATTACATCATTCATTCATTTACTCATTTTTTTTATTCATATATGTATACTATATTCATCCACCTCGAGATTCAATTTCACTTGAAAAGACAAGAATGAAAGTCAACGGTAAAGTAATCAGAAGATGGCACGCACGCGAGAATAAGTAACAACCGGAAGAATCTCTGAGCAGCATGGTAAGGTCAAGCTTAAAGGTTTTTTTTTTCTGATAAATATGCACACGGGAGAAAATTAATATTGTTGCTGCGTCGGTTAGCATCAGTCAAACTCTTTATCTGTTTATGAACTCGTGATAATTGTGTATATGTGAAAAGAACAGTCTCGTCATCTGTTCATTTCAAATATATATATATATATACATACACAACTGACCCATTGAGCCTTGAGCAAAAGGTGAAAGAGAATAGGACGCGATCGATCAATACACATGAATTTGAGATAAAGAGATAAATCAAAACAAAACACACTCAATAATGTCAATTACCCTTGAACGCATTTTGTTTTTTTTTGTATTTTTTATATCGGTCTTTGTTCAAATATACGACTTTTTATAGTCAAGTATTTCGCTATAGGATCACATTGCCACATACGTATACATATATATATATATATAATATAATACACTAATCTTTTTGACTTTGTGTCTGGACGAGTGTTTTCTTGCATAAACATCACTAAGACGAGAGTGAATGTTCATTCATATAGCACTCTTATCGGTAGTAATAACAATTCTGAAGCACGTCCCATCCCACTGAGGCGCATCTAAGCTACTTATTGCTTTCATATAAAGAAAAAGACTAAATACAACTAATGATGATGACGATGATGATTTGCTCTTGTACATCGAATCATTACTGCATCCTTTCCTCTTTTCCATAAATTTGTTCAACACTAAGTTATGTCTCGACGGAACCAACATCAACAACCTAATATACATAAATATAGAGACCCATTAAACAACGAGATAATTCCCATTACATATTTTTTTTTCTTCTTCTTTTCGAAATAGTCTAGCTATTTGTAAGAAATAAGAAAAATTTGTAACCAATGAATTACGTACATATATAGTATATATATATATATATCTATGTAAGTAGGATCATACTTTTGGGCTAGTTAATTGCCTTACTCATGTAATTGGATCTCATCGAGCAAACGGCTGTTATGTGCATGCGGTGTGTCATCCCTCTGGGGTTCGATCGACC